TGTGAGCCAACCGTGCCCGCCAGAAGCTTCCACTTTTAATGTCTTCATAGACTCGAAGCTGCCCTTTGACTCGGCTTGAACCTGCGTGCACAGAGGTTGACAGTTTTTAGTTGTGAATGTAGACCAGTACACCGGGCACGGCAAAGAGCAGCCCCGTGTCATCCCACTCAGCAATCGTAAAGTTTCCTGGTAAGTTTCCGTGTGCTCCTCCTCCAATGCCTCCCCTGATTCATGTGTGTGTCTCTGGTTCCCTGTTTCCAGGCAGTCTCTGTGGAATCGGCAGTATATGCATTAAAGGTGAAGTTCAAAGAATTACGACACAGGTAATGATCATCAATTCCCATCATTTCGAAATCTTTTTTTTTTTTCAAATGGGAGAAAAGAAAAATATTAAAATAAGCGCCCCCGGCGTGTGGGTGGCTCACACCTGTAATCCCCAAGCACTTTAGAAGGCGCATGGTGGGCAGATCACCCTGAGGTCAGGAGTTCAGACCAACCATCACCCAATGTGGCAAAAGCCCATCCTCATAACTAAATAAAAAGCTTATTGTGTGTAAGCAAAAACTAAAAGGAGGTCATGTCTTTGAGAAGTCCAGCAGATAAAACAGTTGGTTGTCTATAAAGTGACTTGTTTAAATTCTTTTTTTTTTTTTTGAACAATACTGATTTTGATGTCATAAACCATCGCAAATTCTGTTGGAAGAATAATTTAAAATATAGAAAGTTCTGTCTGGTGACAAATCCTGCAAGGGGCCCTGAGATTAGCCTCTGCCACTGCATGGTCCTTGGCTCCCGAAGCCAGTTTAGCGAGCCAGACATGGTGACTAACCAAGGGTGTTCTGGGCAGTGCACAGAATGTGAGTATGAGTGGCTTTGGTCCCCTGCCCAGCTAGGTGAGGGAAGGCTGGGGTGTTTGTTGCACAGAATGTGAGTATGAGTGGCTTTGGTCCCCTGCCCAGCTAGGCGAGGGAAGGCTGGGGTGTCCGTTGCACGGAATGTGAGTAGGAGTGGCTTTGATGCCCTGCCCAGCTAGGCAAGGGAAGGTTGGGGTGCTCTTTTGGCCGAGGAGCGGCCTGAGAAGAGTTGTGGTCTGGGATAGAGAGCCGAGAGCAGGTTGCCGTGTGGAACTGGACGCGTGCTCTGCATTCTAAGCAGTGTCCGCAGGGCTTCCAGGTACTGCTTTGCTTGGCTGGCGGGCTTCCGTGTTCACACTTTGCCCCAAGTGGCAGCAGGCGTCCGTTTGTGCCTGCCTCCTACGTCCGAGACATGCCTGGGTTCAGTTGCACAGAGCAGGTGCTCACCCACTTGCTCCCGCATCCGTCAGTGGTCGTTACTTCCAGTCCTTTCTGTAACTCTGGAAGGTGGTTATGAATGGACGAAAAGGCTGGAGAGGAGCTGTCCCGTCTGCAGTTTCCAGCCATTTTCTTACGGTATGTTCTATAGAGATTCATTCATGGCCTTACTAAGAGCCATTAGGACCGTTTCCATCCCGGGAGCGGCAGCATAGTCAGGAGTGCTGCTGCCACCCTGTCCAGGTGGTTGAACTTTGCGGACCCCCATGACCTCACAGCCCATAGGCAGCTCACGTGGGATTTCATGAGTGGAGGCCTTAGCTCCTCAAGGATACCCATATGGGGAAAGGAAGCCCTACGCAATGCCAAAGATAGTGAACGTACTGTGGTCTGCTTAATTTACAGGATAACAAAAAGATGAAGAAATCTCTAGAGGAAGAACAGAGAGCCCGCAGAGACCTCGAGAAGCTGGTGAGGAAAGTCCTGAAGAACATGAACGACCCTGCCTGGGACGAGACCAATCTCTAAGGGACGTCCTTAGTTCTTTCTGTCGATGACCAGTTCTGAGGTGAAGCGGGGCACCCCTGACCCACGTCGGGGTGCACTCAGGACCACAGGGCAGGGCTGGGTGGGGCACCACCTCGCTCTCTGTACATAGAAAAGCTGGAGCTTATTCTGCGAATGGAGACGATCAAACCATGACTGATGAATCCAGACAGGAGGGATTGACTCTGAGGACCTGAGCTGCATCAGTCCCACTCTGTGAACATCTCAGTTACCTCATTCTGCAATAAGTTCAGTGACTGACTAAAAGTCTTGTTTTTCCAGACTTTGAATTGAATATATAAATATTATATATGCGTGTTGCTTGTAAATATCCCATTTTGAATGCATACCCGTGGTGGTTCTGTCCGGGCTAATCCCCATGCTAGAATGTCCTTTCCAGCTACGTGAGTAAGAAGTCCCATGCCCGCACCCACCGGAAGCAGAAGCCCGGTGGATGCCTGGTTCGTTCCGCAGCACCAGGGCCTCCACCGTGCTGTGACAGCACCCCCCGTGTCGGTGTTTCTGAATAACCTTATTTATACCTGCAGAGATACACGTCAGTCCCATTCGGAAGTCTTCTCTGAAAGCAGCGTTCCAGTCCCAGACCTGTGGGGTTCCGAGGGCAGCTTGCTGGTTGACAGACTCAGTCTCGACCTCAAGGAAGGCCCATACGGCACCGCTGCATCCACCTAGAGGTGTTTGCTCTTGTCCGCTGTCTGAGTACTGTGATTCTCAGATGGATTTGCTGTGTTTTGGGAGATTACACAGACGTTTCTGTGCAGGCTAGTTCAGTAACAACAAAATACACTGTTTTGTCTTCCCTTAAAGAGAGCTCTTACTAGAACCTGTAAATAGAATGTATTATTTATTGTAGGTCACTGCGGCTGACGAGAACAGATGGAGGCCATGCTCCAGACTGATACTGATGGGTGGAGCTTTGCCGTCAGGCCAGCCTCATCCTGAGGTCTGCTCCACCACTGGCTGCAGCCAGCAGGCTTCAGTGCTCACCGAAAGTGAAATCCCCTCCTTCAGCAAGCATAAAGCAATATACACCCTAGGTTCCACTAAGCAACGTAGGCGTAAGCAGGGAGCGTTTCCCCCACTGTGTTCCAGTGCAGAGGAGACGGACGAAGCCTGTCCTCGCCGCGGCTTGCTGGGCCCAGGCTGGCTCTGGAAAGCCTGTGCAGTCCTGGGCGGGAAGCCCAGCCCGTGGGGCAGGTTTTCGTTCTGCTTCAGCAATAAATAAGGGTGACCGCAGGGACTTTGCTTTTGGTTTCCCTTCCCGTGAAGAGGTTGGTTTTAAAGTGAGATACGCTTTTCCGTAGAACAAGTGTTCTATCTTTAAACACCAAAATTGCAACGCCATGGATTACTGATCTCAGAACAGCTCATTTTGCATCAGATTTGACTCTCTGCTTTTCCGTCTATTGGCCAAATTGCCCTTTAACTGCACCTGAATCCTTTGTATACTGATGCCTTTGAGCTGGGCACCCTGGGAGAGTGTTCTGTCACTGTTTACGGTTCTTCCTTGCCCTTGCTGATTACAGTCTCTGGTGCCCAGCAAGCCCCCTTCCTGCTTCCTTCCCTGACTCCGGTCACGGGGTCTGCCTGGGCTCAGCATGGACCTGACCCATGCTCGCAGAACCTGGCCTCACCTGGACTTCTCACTAGAATTGCCAGCTTCCTCAACTTAGCAGATTACTCACTCATGCAGGCACAAGCAAAGATCAACACTTTCTCTTTTGGTAAGCTTGAGTTTTACAAGTTATTTTTTGGTGATGCGTAAGACATTGCAGTGGGAAACCATTCAACTTGAGCGTACTGGAGTTTGCTGTCGTAGCAGGTTTTAACTCAGGAACAACTCTCCTCTGATCTCTCCGCCCTCTGCCGGGAGGCGACGTTCGCCGTCCTCTCGGAGCCGGTAGCGTTGCTGTCCGAGTCCCCAGGACGGATCTCCTGCAGACCTGCCTTAATGCTCAGATCGAAGTATTTCACAAGAATACTTGTGTTTTTAACAGCCCTTCCCCTAGACGGTGCGGCCGCGAGGGCCTCATGTGACTGCATTGCCTTTTCTTTCTGTGGATCCAGTATCTTCCTCGGCTTTTTAGGGAGCAGGAAAAACGTGTCTGAGAGCAAGTCTTTAAAAACCTGCCCTGTTGTATATAACTGTATCTGTTTCACCGTGTGACCTCCCAAGGGGGTGGGAACTTGATATAAACATTTAAAGGGGCCACGATCTGCCCGAGGGTTACTCCTTTGCTCTCAGCTTGTATGGATGAGGAGATTAAGCCATTTCTTATCCTGTAGATGTGAAGCACTTTCAGTTTTCAGCAATGTTGGAATGTAGCATCCGAAGCTCGTTCCTTCACATTCGGTAGCGTCTGTGCTTGTCCACATGCGCTGGGCGCCTGGGACCTTGAATGCCTGCCCTGGTTGTGTGGACTCCTTAATGCCAATCATTTCTTCACTTCTCTGGGGCCCCCAGGGCGCCCGTTGACAAGTGTGGAGAAACTCCTAATTTAAATGTCACAGACAATGTCCTAGTGTTGACTACTACAATGTTGATGCTACACTGCTGTAATTATTAAACTGATTATTTTTCTTATGTCACAGAATGTGTCGCTTCATCTTTGATGTGTTTTCTGTGTGCTTGTTCGCTTTACAGTTTCTTTGGGCTGATTTAGATTTGAAAATTCTGTCTTCGATACTGGAAGATAACATGTTTCCTTTAAAGTCTAGAGTTTGAGAAAATTTGAAGATTTTTTTTAAAAGACAAGGAAAGAACACTGGAAGTCTTAGGAACAAAAACTAAAGTAACGGGTCACGCTGGTAGGCACAGCCCCCAGGTCCTCGCCCATGCCTGGAAGAATGGCCTGCATTCTGGAGGGCGCTCAGGACAGCGTTTTGTGAAGCCAAACTTCCTTGAAGGTATCTGTGGGGTCCCTTTTAGGAGCTGTCATAAGACAAAAGGAAATCGCTCGTGTGTGTCCTCGTGTGGCAGTGGTGCAAACGAGGGTGTCTTCCGGAAGGGTGGCTGGGAGGACCGAGTGCGGTCCCCTGTCCGTGGTCCGTATACCTGGCTCAGGTGTGTCCACAGCTCCACTGCATGTCATTTCAGCCAGCCAGAGGTCAGGCAGCCGCACGCAGTGCCCAGCCAACTGGCTTACTGTAGGAGCTCAAAGGAAGTCAGGATCTACACTCTCAAGGACTTTAATCATTTCAGGCTAAAACAAGGAGGCGTTCAAAAATCCATTTCTGTTGGTTTGCATTGTGACAAGAACGTGTGATGCGTAAGACACCTAATGTGAAGTGTTCATCTTATTGGTGGAGTAGGTAGGCATTTGTACTTGGTACCTCACCAGTAATTAAAAACTAGCGTGCACCTGAGCCATGTATACTGTTTTTTAACTGTACACTTTAAAAATTTAAAGGTATACTGGGCCATGTATACTTTATTTTCTTGCATAACTGTTTAATTTTTCCCATAAGCAGGTATTATTTTCCTAATTAAAAACTAGCATGTGCCAGAGATTTTAATTGTGAAAACAATACCTGTTTATAGGGAAAATAGAAACAGTGCCAGGATATAAAGTAAGAAGCTCGTATTCCACCTCCCAGTGCCCTGACCCTGTTCCCCAGAAGTAGCTCCTGCTCTGTGTCCAGGTTCTTCTGTTCATTCTTCTGACCAAATGCCAGTGTGCGGTGTCTGTGTTTAACTTTTTTCCCAGCAAGTGAGGTTGCACTAAGTATATTCTCTCCTAACTTGCCTCTTTGAGCCTTGTCTTAGGTATCTTTCCATATGGGTGTATGTGGTTCGAACCATTCATGGTTTTTGACCACTGCATAAATTTTCCCCTGACTGAATGCACTGCAGTTTGTCACCTATCAGTGGATGTTTGGGAGGGAGCAGTGACTCTTGCAGAAACGCTCTACTGAATATCCTTCTGTGTACAGCTGTGCAACTGCACATGCAGCTAAATGATTAACTTCTGGGAACGTCTGTGTGTTTTTAGCTTTGATAGAATTTGCCGTATTTTTACAAGGTGTTTTGGAAATGATGACCTTGGCAGTCGTACAGTTCTAGTTTCTCAGAAGGAATGGGGCCATGATGGCAGGGGAAGCATGCTCTTCGTTGAGATGCCTTCTCATGGAAGCCGCTGACTCCAAAACATGCTCTTCATGGTCGACGCCTTCCCAGGGAAGCCGCTGCCCTCCCATGAGCATGGCTTTGGAAGTGGGGAAGATTGGGGTGGTGGTTCTTTCCTGTGCCAGGCTCCTTGCTCATCTTTCTAAGGCATATCAAACTCGCCCTTGTCTAGGGTCATGACCTCCTGCCTAGCCTGGCCCCTTCCACTCCACGCTGCTCTAAAACATGCGGTGAGTGGGTGGGGCCTTCCTGCCAACTCCTGGGTGCTTTTAGAAAATGTCAGTTCCTGGGTCCCCCACCCTAAGGAGCTGATTCCTGAGGGTGGAATCAGGAATCTGCATTTTTAACACACCCCCGTGCTGTTAGTGCCTGTAGTAATGGTGTACTGATGCCCGTGTAGGTGGGCTGCTCAGTTTAGGTCTTTTGCATGATGGTTACTTAGTGTCTGGGCAGCCACAGGAGAAGGGCGTGTGACCGGCCTGTGTGCAGGAATAAGCCCGGCACCCCCAGCACTGCCACATGCTAGTTAGTTAGGAGGCCACACCTCCTTTGCCATATCTCTAAGAGCAGTTGCTGCCTGTCGTCATTGGAGAGGGTCATCTAAAACGTGTTCAGGTTTTACAGGTGTTAAAGTGCTTTGAGAATCGGGGGAGTTGAGATGAACTGTGACTTTGGGGGTCAGTCCTGTCTCCAGCTCCCCACAGTGGCTACATAAGGTCTCGCAAGTACAACCCCACTTCCTCCTCCCTGCCCCTCAGAGGATGTTGGACTGCTTACAAAAAGGTGCAACCCACTACGAGGGAATTGCCTCCGCCTCTCACCACACTTAAAAACCTGCCTGCATGTGCCCCGCTGCTCTGTCTTGTTTCAGTGGAAGAATTCGCCCAAGCCCCCAACCCCATGGCTTCCTTGCTGGCCTGGGAGCCTGCGTCTCCTCTCCTGGGAGCCTGCGTCTCCTCTCCTGCCTTCCTGAAAGCCAGACCCTTCTCTCGGCCGCTATGTGTGTTGTGTTTGTTTCTTATGGAAAATGTCATGCTTATATAGAAGTAGGGTAATGAGTGATGATTGCCCTCCGAGATTTGTGAACATTCCAGGCCCTGTGACTCCTGGTCTGTCGTAGAATGAAGGAAAATAGCTGGGCCCACCCAGGGGAAAATGCTGTGCTCATATGATGAATACATTTAGTTACAGTTCAGTATCCATTTGTGGAGATGAAACCAATTGCAGACCAGGAATAAGAGGGAATTTCTTTAGTCTGATTGAGAACAGTTACCAAAAAACCTATCAATATACATATAAGAAGGCTAGTAACTCTCACCGGCTATTCCCCAGGGCTTGCTGGTGGAGCAAGGCAAGGAAAAGGGAGAGGGAAACAGGTTGTAAGGAAACAGCTACAATTGCCACGACTTCCCACCTATACTGTTGTTTATGTAGAAATACAAAAGTATCTGCAATTAAATAGATTTAATAATGCTGCCAGATACAAGATGTAGCAATTTTCTCTAAATCAGGAACAAATGGAAAATATAAAATATCATTTCAATAGCAAAGATATCAAGTAGGAATAAAATGAAAAATATGCAAGACCTTCATGCAGAAAACTACAAAACACTGTTGAAAGGACTGCATGGAAAGGCGCAGTACTCCGTGTTGATGGTATAAGGACTGCATGGAGAGGCCGTCAGTTCTCGCGTGTTGATGGTTTTAAAGGACTGCATGGAAGGCGTCAGTTCTCCGTGTTGATGGTTAAAGGACTGCATGGAGAGGCGCAGTTCAATTAATTTCTTGGTGGATTCCATGCCAGTTTCAAGTCCTGTGAGTTTGTTACCCCTTTTCTGGATCTTGAGAAGCAGGTTACGTGGAAATGCAAAGTACCCAGAACAGCTGAGAGCCTCTGCAGACGCAGAGCAAGGCGGGAGGACGTGCCGGGCAGGATGACGAGGCTTAGGCGGCCAACCCAGTGGTGGTGCCCAGGGAGGGACCGCTGGAGGTTACATCAGGGGTCTCGCTGCAGAGCAGTGGGGGAAGGACAGCGTTTTCAGGTCAGTAGTTCTTTTTGGCCAGAAGTTTTTCCACGGGGGACAAATGTGAACCTTGACTCCTCCCCTCACACTGATCGCCCATTAATCTAGGGTGGAATGTTAATTTAAATGTGGGCAGGGGAAGCTGCTAATGGGTGGTCGTGCCTGTCCATCCAACAATTATCAGGGGAGGCCCTGAGGCAGGTGGATCATTGAGCTTGGGTTCAAGACCCGTCACTACCAAAAATCCACACACACACACAAA